CTAATTGTGATCGCCTGTGTCCTGTTAAGTCTAGCTTGTCTTGTGTATTTAGTCCTCGTCTAAGTCAGTCTTCCCCAGACTTGTCATTGTATTGTCCGTCGATGTCCGTACCTGTCCGTCTGCCTCCAAATAAACCCCGTTTCCCTGACTACCTGGCTGCTCTCGCCTGCTTCCCTTCTCGCCTCCCCACCGAACGTGACAGACCCCACATGGTCTTTTAGTTTTGTAGTTTAGCCGGTGTGTTCAGGTTCCCCAATAAACTCCTCTGTTGTCTTGGAGGCGCTAAGAGGATCGTCACCTTCTTTTCCCGCCTGTGCCGTGCCGTAACACATACACTAGAACATCTTGAAAATACTCAGAAAATACTTTTTAAAGGCTAAAGTCAATGTGCCATCAGTCACAGTTTTTTGGTGCAGACTATGATTTTGCAAAGACTGAGGATCTTGCAGGGTCATTATTTGCAAGACTTCAACTAGATTCCTTTAAGATTAATTCCCATCATGCTCCTGGTAGAAAATTACAATGGGGCAGAAACAGAAGCCGTTTTTGACTACAGCTGCTTTTGTGTGTACAGGGGTTTGTTGTGATAAGACATCAAAAAGGAAGACTTCGCAGAACTTAGATAATACCCTGGTTGTGTGAATGGATTTCCTTATTTTACATATTGTGCATTTCATTATTTTATATATTACATTTCTATGTTTGAGTTTTACATAAATTTCTATTTCTTATATGCTTTGGAATGCTGCAATTTGTACATGCTTTGCTATTTCTTGCTTTGTACTGCAGTTACGTCTCCTATTTATGATGGACAATGTCACATCATTATTTGCATGAGCCAAGACTAAACACCTAGGATCATATTAAACACGGTTAATTTTATCAGAAGACGAGAGAAAGACTGATGTAAGACAGCAATCCTAACCACCTTACACGAAAAGATGAAGATGACGGGAGTGTGTTATAACTCTGGCAAAACTCATGATTTTATTCTGACACTTGAAATTTTTCAATGACAGTGAAATTGCTCGAAACATTGTTTGGTGTAAGGCCAGCGTTTAGAATAACACTCACTGAGCATTTAATTCATCACACGTGTTCATTGGCTAATTCATGCATATATTTCCAGTGGTACTGCTCTGCTTTTTTGACGTCTGGACGCTGTTTGAGAGTGTTGATCATGTAAAACATGTGAAACTGAAAAATCTGGTACATTCACAGGTAAGTACAACGAAACATGACTTACAAATGCATATGATTATGCAAATGTACATATGAGTATTACATTAGGTATGAGCAGGAACATACATACTTTAGGTAAATTATCTTCGCATCAATAAAGATGCATGATCACAAAGGTATTTTAGCCAGATAAACTGATACGCATTGAACTGAAGGAGTACAAGAACATAGCGATTTAACATTCATTGTGGTATTTAACAACTCAAAATGCGGTTAAACTCTATGCAGTTAAAGACATATATTAATGTAACATCTTACAGGGAACACCTTTAAAGGGGCTAATCAGAATGTGTGATTTCAAAGGTGTGGCCGGTGCCCCCCATACAATCTGACTGATCACCCCCAGATACCACCCTATCATTTCTGACACCCCACTGGTTCCCACCTTGCTGTTGACTCTCAAATCATAATGGAGCTGGTGCGTATGGATTTCTGAACTGCTGGTGATTCATAGAAACGCCGTGTTAATGTCTTGGTGATCACTGATTATTTCTTGCAGGCCTTCCTTCTCTCCTCCTCTAGACCTGTGGCCAGAAATATTAGACTATGCTCAATTTAATGAATTCATTATGGTGAGCTATTGGAACAGTTCAGTAGCAGCGAATAAGATAGTGGGTGTTTCTCAATATGCGTACTTGCGTGTACTTGGTTCCCGTGTACCCCTTTTACACCACCTTCCACTGCCAAAGGCCAGTTCCAATTCTAATAATGGTAATGCCAAAACTTACCCTTTGAAAGAAAAGTGTCATTTGGTGTGTTCAGTCTTCATATGAAAGTAATAGTGTTGTTTTGCTGTGTTGTCTTTTCTTTATTTGACAAAAAGCGTTTAAAGTGGGCTGTGAATAACTGGATGGGGGTAGGGCTATATAAGTTTATACTTCGGCCTACTCCTTTTCAAACATAAAAGACTGGAAATATGTAAATATGGTGAATGTGAATACGTTTGAAATAAACGATAAATAAACAAACAAACAAACAAACAAACAAAATAGAAGTACAGTGGATGGTACAAATCCATAGATGTAATTCTTGCCCAGCCACAAATGTGAAGGATACATTGGTTGCACCCTCAGCAAACAAGACCAATCCCATGATTCATTGCGCGCCAAGTTCATTCTTGGGAGGCAAGTTAGTAAGACTGGTGTTCAGTCTTGACAAGACCAGAAGTAAGATCTTTGCATTCTAGGTATTGAGAAACACCCACCAGTTCTGACAGGGTAGGTTCTTGTGCAAAATAATCAGCGCTACTGTTCCACAGAAATATGGCTGGTAGGAAAACTTATAATTAGATTATTTCGAAGCTAACTTAGTGATGGGATTTAGAAACTGAAATGTTCCGACACATTTGAACAATTCTTTCGAAATACTTCAGACTCAACATTGGCATTGGTATGTTACTGCAGTCATTATAATGTGCTGAAGTTCCCCTTTACTAAATTTAATACAGCATGAAACTGTTAATGTAATACAGCGTGTTCACTTTGTGTGTTTGTGGCCACTACAAATGCACCCCTGTTACCATTCATTATGTTGTGTATAGGTAAAATACACCATGTTGCCAAAAGTATTGGGACACCTGCCTTTACACACACATGAACTTTAATGACATCACATTCTTCATACATAGGCCTTAATATAGAGTCGGCCCACCCTTTGCAGCTACTTCTGCACACTGCGCCTCTACATGCGTTGTCCATGCTCTGTGATTCTATGTTGCTGTTGTTCCCAATTGCTTTCACTTTGATATAATACCACTAACAGTTGACTGTGGAATATTTAGTAGTGAGGAAATTTCACGAATGGACTTATTGCACAGGTGGCATCCTATCACGGTACCACGCTTGAATTCACTGAGCTCCTGAGAGCGACCCATTCTTTCGCAAATGTTTGTAGGAGCAGTCNTAAGATATCCCTCAGGTGCTATTTCATTTTGATCCAAGAGACATTTGGCAGAGATTTAAGAAATTTGTGATATTTGTCCAGGAAAACTATGAATAACCTGGCAGTGAAGCTGGAAGAGTACTGGGAAGAAATTCGGCACAAGCGTAAAGGCTGCCAAATACCAACAGAATATATTCCGTGAGTATTCAAATGGCGTGTTTGTTTTAAGAGCTGTGTATTCAGGGGAATTTGGCTGTGGAGTGTGAACATGCTCTGAGAAAAACTGAGCAATGTTACTGTGTGCAAGCAGACACACCACAGAGAAATAAGTTCTGTTGTGCTTTTTGCTGTTTGGGTACAGGAAGCATCCGGATCAGAACTGGGTGCAGTGTGATAACTGTCAGAGGTGGAGAAGACTCCCAGATGGTATCGACTCTAATCTGCTCCCTGATGAGTGGTTCTGCTACATGAATCCAGATCCCCAGTACAGGTGATGTCTGTGGTTCATACTGTAACCAGTAACAGAAAGGGGAGAACTGGTCCTTGGGCTTCAGAAGACTTAACCATTCCTATGTGGGACCCCAGCCATTACTCCTCTGATCCTCCATCAGTAGGAAAGGCTCAATCAGCAGGAAGGTGTAGCTTTATGTTGATGAGTGCCAGTTTACATTAGTCTGTGTGGGTATTAACTGACTGACAGAGGTAGCATCAGACGAGGGAGCAGATCTGTTTTGTAAAGTCTGAGCCGTTGCAGGAGCTGTCAAGTAGAGCAGGAGCCTGTGGATTCAGAAGACGAGCAGCAGTGTGACCCAAAACCTTACAAGAGACAGTAAGAGTTCTATCATCTTACATCCACTAATGCTTCTCAAGACTAGTTGATACTACACTTTGTCATGTGCAGTTACAGTTGGCCCCTGGTCATGCACATGGACTCTTGTGTACATACGACATTTGTCCGTTTATGCCGACACATGCAAACAGTAATGATTTTCCACCGGCCCAGCGGAGGCCAGACGCCATTTCGGTCTGTTGAATTCCCTTCTTTGCACAGTGTTTGGGTGATTTTCTTTGCACAAAATTTTTGCATCAGAATATGTTTTTCTGCTCCTTCAATGATGAGTTATATACAGTAAGCCCTAAACGTACACACACTTGATATTTGCAGTTTTGGTTATTCTCGAGTTAGCCGTGACTTGCGGATGACGAGGAACGTAAAAACAATGCTGAAAATGATTTGAATCACATTAAATCATACAATATATGAATATATAAATATTTGTTAGTGTAAGTGCATACTATATTTTCAATATTAAAAGTCTTGGCTTGGGTATTATATGACTACATCATTGTCTCCGCAACCAGTCTCACTCATGTGTTGGCTGTCTTTGTGACTGTGGAATCTAATGGTTCTCTTAGTAACTTTTAAATTTTTCAGTGCTTTACCCGACATTTTCAGTAATTATGCAT